CTCCTGTGGGGAATCTTTTTGGAGGGGAAGGAGAAAGATTATTCTCGTGCATCAATATCTTTTTATTTTTTATTGTAGTAAGAATATTAACATGAGATCTATCCTCTTACAGTTTTTGAATGTACAGTACAGTATTGTTAACTATAGGCCTGAGGATGTGCGGCAGATCTCTGGGACATTTCAGTCTTGTATAACTGAGGCTTTATACCCATTGAATAGCAGCCTTCCATTTCCCTCTCCCCTTTGCCCCTGGGATCTACCATTCTACACTCTTTCTGTGGATTGACTATTTTATTCTGACAAAAGTGGAATCATGCATTATTTGTCTTTCTGTGACTGGCTTATTTCATGTGGCGTAACATCATCAAGGTCCATCCATTTTTTGCATATAACAAGTTTCCTTTTTAAGGCTCATAATATTCTGTTTTCTACATATACCACATTTACTTTATCCTTTGTCTTTTATTGCACATACTTGTTCTTGCAGCTTGGCTATTGCAAATGATGCTGTAATGAATATCTCGTAAGTCTCATATATGTCCATACAAGATCATGAGAGTGGACATCTCTTTAGGTATTTTGAATTGGTGGGGCAGTTTTGCTTAAGGGTAGGCATGGTGGGTGGCTCTATACTTGAGACTTCTAATCTCATCCTATATATATGTCTTTTTTTTTTTTTTTTTTTTTTTTTTTTTTTTGAGATGGTTCTCACTTGCTACCCAGGCTGGAGTGCAGCAGCACAAACATGGTTTACTGGACCCTTGACCTCCTGGCTCAAGTGATCCTTCTGTCTCAGCCTCCCAAGTAGCTGGGACCACAGCAGGTGTCACCATACCCCACTAATCTTTTAATATTTTTTGTAAGCATGGGGTCATAATTATATGTGCCCAGCTTCGTCTGGAATCCGTGGGCTCAAGTGATCCTCCTGCCTCAGCCTCCCAGAGTGCTGGGATTACATGTGTTGGCCACCACACCCAGCCTTATATGTATGTTTCTAATTTTGCCTTAGCCATGCCTTTAAAAACTAATTCTATTTTCAACTAGGTTTTTTTAACCTTCAGTATCAAGTATTGTTCACATTTCAAAAATAGTACTATAGTACCTGTGAAGTAGGACATGATACTGTTTTATTGGATCGCTTTTACTTTATTATGTTTTTATTTTATTATTTTTTTGAGATAGAGTCTTGCTCTGTTGCCCAAGCTGGAATGCAGTGGCATGATCTCGGCTCACTGCAGCCTCCGCCTCCCAGGTTCAAGCAATTCTCCTGCCTTAGCCTTCCAAGTAGCTGGGATTACAGGCATGTGCCACCATGCCCAGAATTTTTATTTTTTTTATTTTTGTAGGAACGGGCCCGCCACCCTTTTACTTTAGAGTTGGAAATTATATTCGATGTAGTTGTAAAAAAAAAAAAAAAAAGACCGGCGTGGTGGCTTATGCCTATAATCCAGGCACTTTGGGAGCTGAGGTGGGCGGATCCCAAGGCCAGGAGATCAAGACCATCTGGCCACATGGTGAAATGCTATCTCTACTAAAAATGCAAAAATTAGCTGAGTATGGTGGTGTATTCATGTAATCCCAGCTATTCAGGAGGCTGAAGCAGGAGAATGGATTAACCTGGGAGGCAGAGGTTGCGGTGAACTGAGATAGTGCCACTGCACTCCAGCCTGGTGACAGGGTGAGACTCCATCTCAGAAAAAAAAAATTGACTGAGATTATTTCAGCAACCAGAAGTGTGGGTTAGGCAGGGCAGTTATTTCCTACTTCTCAGTTTGGAAACTGAAGCTCAGAGAGTAAACTTGTCAGTGACAGTGATTCAAGAAGTTGTCTTCAGTTGAGAGGTATTTATTTCACCTGTAGCTTCTGGTGTTAGAGCAGTATCTTTTTTAGACTAGGCAAATTATAGTTAAAATTATAAAGGTATTTTCAGGCTACCTAGAAAAAAATCAGCATTTTGTTTTTCTAGTTCCAGTTATTAGGAAGGCAGTAAAGTTTGGTATACCTGAATTACATGTGAGTGATTTCTATTTTTCTAAAAATTCTTATAAATTATGTAAGTAAAAAAATGACTACTTGTTGTTTCATGGTAAATATAGTTATATCCTTTCAAGCCACTCCTGGACAAAGTTGTGAAATCTCCCTGAGCCTTTTTCCTTTATGTCAGCTTCAGGTATCCAGTATCACTTACACTTGAGAATGATTATAATGGAAATCATTCAGAATTATACTAAGTTTTTCCATATGAAGCTTTTGTTTTACTAATTTTTTAAACTACTGTTTCTCCATTAAACTAATATAGCCCTAACCATAAATTTGGTTTGTTCATTTAAAAATGATCTTTCTTTTTTCTTCTTAGTTCTGGTTTTACTGGGGAGATAGATTGACTGGGGCTGTCACCTAATTCTGGGAGCTTAAGAGCCTTTGTCCTTTGCTACCCATTTCTGAAATAATCAGAAGTCTAGCCCATCCTAACTTTTCTCTTAATGATCCTTTTTTCTTTTACTCCAAGTCTCCAGCACTTCATTTGAGTATCTTCCATGTCTGGATTATAACTATGTTTTTTTATTTGATGCTGTGACAGTTTTGATAGTCACAGATACTGTGATAACGTTTAAATATGTTTACAAGGAGAAAAATGAAACAATACTGCATGAAATTTGCCTTTCTTTCTTTCTTTGTTTTTTTATGGGAGACAGGGTCTGGCTCTGTTGCCCGGACTAGAGTGCAGTGGTGTGATTTCAGCTCACTGTAGCCTCTACCTCCTGGGCTTAAGCTCTTCCTACCTCAGACTCCTGAGTAGCTGGGACTGCAGGCACGCACTACCACACCTGGCTAATTTTTGTTGTGTGGATAATTTTTTCTTTTGGTAGCGATGGGGTTTTGCCATGTACCCCAGGCTGGTCTTAAATTCCTGTGCTCAAGTGATCTGCCTACCTCAGCCTCCCAAAGTAATGGGATTACCAGCGTGAGCTACCACACTTACCACACTTAGCCCTTTATTTTTTTATATTTATTTAATTATTTTATTTGTTGACGTAGAGTCTCAGAGTCTCACTCTGACAGCTGGGTTGGAGTGCAGTAGTGCTATCGTGGCTCTCTGCAGTCCTGAACTCCTGGACTCAAGTGATCTTCCCATCTCAGACTCCTGACTATCTGGGACTACAGGGTTGCACCACCATGCCTGGCTAATTTTTTATTTTTATTTTGTGGAGACAAGGTCTTGCTATGTTGCTCAGGCTTGTCTCGAACTCGTGGCCTCAAGTGATCCTTCTATTTAGCCTCTCAAAGTGCTGGAATTACAAGCCTGAGCCACTGAACCCAGCAAATTTGCCTTTTTAAAACTAATTTATCTCTGTTGGGTCCAAGAGCTTGCAAGTTGGTTGTCATTTAATATGTTAAACACTAAAATTTTTTTAGTTGAAATCTTTATTTTTTCCTTCACATATTGTATCCTTTAGTGCTTTATTCCAAGAATAAGAATTATAGTAAGAAATCATTTCCCACCTTGATATTCAGTATATCAATTTTGTTTTCCTTTCTTCTTCTGTCTTTTGCTGTAATTTGCTGTAATACAAGTACTTTCATCAAGGCATCCAGTTTTTTATGTAATTCTATATTTTTACTTGGGAGAAATAGGAATGTTCCTAGTTCTATCTTACTGTCAATACCTAAATTATTGTTTTTTATAGAACATAATGGTTTATACACAAAATACACTAAACTGTGTGAGATTTTTACACTTTATGCGTGCAGAGGCAAAAATCGTTATAAGATTACAACTTAATATGCAAAATGAGGATTTCAGATTCATGAGTTTCAGGTTTTGGTAGCATATGCTTGTCCACTAGATTAGTCTTTTAAAAATTTGTATGATAGGGAAAAAATCTAGGACATGAATTCTGAGACTTACTAGGAACTAAACTTAATGTTCGTTGTTAGATTTTTGGTTTTTTTTGCTGCATATGAAGTTTTAGGCAGTCATTGTCCACAACATATGGTAAAAGCATATGATTTTCAAAAATTATTTTCTAAAGTTATCTCATTCTACACTTAAGAGCAGTTATAATGCTTTAGTGACACTTGAAGTAGCTGTTTAATGTGATCTCACCACCATACAGAAGGCCTTTGCATGACTTTTGGGTGTGTGCTTAGCTGCTAACCAAGAGAATCTTTCCTGAGCAACCAGCTGGGAAGGATTTAATTTGACATTCTCCCTGCTAAGACCCCCAAAGAGACTCATTCCCTCCAACAGTTCCTACAGGCTCTTTCTCTTTCCTAAACTTGCTGTTACTAATTTACCCCCTCACTGTTCTTCAAGGGCAAAACATCTGCAGGGTTTTAAGGTCCTTTCCCCCTCCCATCCTGTCCTCATCAGTGTTGAAATGTGCTACAGTTGTTATGGTTGTAATTTGTTATGCCATATTGATCTTGTGCTTTCATATCAGAACAATGCATTTTTAACATTCTGACTTTTTCTCTCAATTGCTGACTATATATAAAATTTATATTTATGGATACTAGTTGTTTTTTGAATAAGTTCAAGGAAAAACATTGATAAAGGAAAATTTATTCTCCTAACTTTCTTTAGGTGCCAGCATTATTTTCACATTAGGAAGCAGGAGAAAATTAAGGAACTTTGAGCAATACTAGAATGGTTTTATATATATATGTATATAAGATTGTATTAACCTGATGGAATGGTAAAGAAATTTATTGACATATTTAACCACACAAACTAGTGTTGTTAAAGATTAGTTTTTCTTTTTGTTGTGTGCATATGTATGTTTGTGAATGTGGGTTTTTTCTTTTAAAGAAATTTGTTAAAAACTTTATTTGCCAGCTTTTTTCTGTTGGAATTTGTGAACATTGTATAAAATTGGAATTATAGAATAGTTATGGAAAGTCACTACTTCATTATCCTTGTGCACTAAATAATGTATAAAGGTTAAATCAGAAGTGTATTGATTCTCTGAATTTCTAATCAGTTGTTTTTAGTTTGCAGAAAAACTTCAGCATGTGCCAGGAACACAACCTCACCTTGATCAGGTAAAAAAAAAAAAAAAAAAAAAAAATTCAAATCCAAAATTCCTAAAGAATGTTTTTAAAGGACCTCTTTACTAAACTGGCTGTATTTAGGACTATTTTATTATAAACTTTTTCTAAAATGGTATTTTGAACCGTGTTGATAATTTTTGGAATCTTAAAATGCTTTTGATATAGTCTAATCCTACTTCTAACACATGGTAGAATTCATCAAACCAGATTCGTTTAGAATCTGAGGAAATCATGCTTTCTAGCCTTTCCATTCTGTAGATTAATTAGCATATTGATAGTTCTGATAGAGATTAGAGATTACTCTTCAAAGTAGCCTGGGCATTCTATAGATAGTCTATTTTTAAGTATGTTGAATTGATTAAGGAAAAGTCTGATATAAGCATGGCTTATTTAAGTAAAAATTGAATTTCACCTTCAGGTAGCACTATAAATGTGAATTCCTTAAGATGTTTTCTTGCTCTAAAATTCTAATCCCTCAGGTAAATATCTAAGATGCTACGAACAAATTAAATACACTTTTACTGTATCTGCATTTCTGTTAAGCATATCATAGATCATAGAGCTTTAGGATAACTTCTTTGTTCCACTTAAAACCCTGAGGGGTGGAGTGGGGATGTGTAAGTGAGCAATGTGCCTAGTCTTCCCTCATCAGTCTTGAAGTGGTCACTCAGCTTTTGAATTACTATTGGTTGTAATATGGCCAAGATAACAGCAGCTACTTGCATTTGTATTCATTTTGGTTCATAATTTATGAGCAGGTTTACCTACTATGTTTGTGGTACCTTTCCCTGTGAAACTTTTGTTAATAAGATATTCCTCTTCACTTATCTTTAAAATGAATAAATGAGAGACATACAAGTCCTTGGAAATAGTTTATGGCAAAAAAAAAAAGTTCTTTATGATAGTTGATATCTGTCATAAAGATGAATGTGAAGCACATTTGAGCTTCTGGGTGAAGAATATGATGCCAAAAATCATAGGGATTAAAAGATGAAGAAAATGTAGTACTCACTTACAATGAACATTTGTAGTGGCCAGTGTCTGTACCCATAGAATCTTGAATAACCCCTATTGTGGCAGTCATGATGCCTTGCAGTTTGGTTGAATTGCTTTTGCCTTGCATTAGTCTATAAATTTCTTAAATATAAAATCTTTATAGCTTAGTACAGAGCTTGGTGGTTGCTCAGTGAATATTTGTTAAAAAATGAAAAGCCGTGTTTCTCAAATGGGGTATAAGTCAGAATCCTATGTGGAGATTTAAAAAAAAAAAATTAGATAACTCATTAGTTCTTACCCCTCAATCTCCAGGATTGGGGCTTGGGTATGTGTATATTAATGTATGTTTTTAACATTTTATTATGCAAGATTTCAAATATATAAAAAAGTAAACAGAATAGTAAGGTAAAACACCTTGTATGAATCACCCAGTTTAAATGGCATCAACATTTAGCTAATTTTATTTCACCTATCCTCCCATATCTTTTGCCTGGAGTATTTAAAAGAAAATGTGTTTCTTTTTCTTTCTTTTTTTCTTCTTTTTTTTAAATTTTTATTTCTTATAGAGATGGGGGTTTCACCTTGTTGGCCAGGCTGGTCTTGAACTCCTGACCTTGTGATCTGCCCACCTTGGTCTCCCAAAGTGCTGGGATTACAGGTGTGAGCCACTGTGCCTGGCCAAAAAAACGTTTTTTAATAGGAAATTTCAAACATGCATAAAAGTAGAATAGTATAATGAGCCTGTATGTACCTATTGCTCTTGTTGGAGTGTATTAAAGCAAATTCCAGACATTATGTCATTTTACTACTAAATAGGGCATGGCTATATTTTTGTAGCCTCTATAGGAGATTCTTGTGCACTTTCCTGCTTTAGATAATATAAACATAGGGACAATAGTTTTAGGGCTATGGGATTCAGAGGCATGAACTCTTTTGGTTCAGTGGATCAGAGGTGTAGGGGAGGAAATTGATCTTTTCCTTGCCCATCACTAGATTCATAGCTGAGGTCTCTCTAACAGAAGACCAACTAACAAGAGAATAACATACAAATTTATTTAGTAAGTTTTACTTGATACAGGAGCCTTCATAAGGAAAGGAAGACCTGAAATAGTGTATGTTTCATGCTAGGTATGATATGGAAAAGGATAGTCATGGAGAAGCATAACTGGATAAAACAGTATGATCTAATAGTAATAAACTGGGAAGAACTTAGCAAGGTCTGTTTGCTCAGATTTTTCTCTGTGATGCTTCATATTCAGAGATAAGGATGTCCTTTTCCTCTGTGTATAGAGAGGGCACCTCTTGAATGAGGGTCTTATGACCCTCAGGGGAAGGTCAGAAAAATCTAGGTTTTATGACCTGCTTCAGGAGAAAAGGTGAGAGCAGCCTTCCTGGTTCTTCCATTTTCTCAAATACTGAGGTGCCATATTTTGGGATAGTACATGAACCCAATCAAAGGTTTCAGGAAAGATAGTTTTTTTGTTTGATTTTGCATACAGTAAAGAATGCAAATGTATGATTTTAGTGTACAATTCAATTTTTTTTCTTTTTGTCTCTCTCTCTTGCCCAGGCTGGAGTGCAGTGGTGCGATCTCGGCTCACTGCAACTGCCTCCTTCTGCATTCAAGCAATTCTCATGCCTCAGCCTCTTGAGTAGCTGGGATTACAGGCATGCACCACCACACCTGGCTAATTTTTGTAGATATATATTTTTTAGTAGAGATGGGTTTTCACCATTTTGGCCAGGCTGGTCTCAAACTCCTGACCTCAGATGATCCACCCACTTCGGCCTCCCAAAGTGCTGGGATTATAGGTGTGAGCCACTGTGCCCTGCCTCAATGTATTTTTACATATATTTATACCTACATATCTGTCTGTATGCACACTCAAACACATATCCTTCTAACCACCCACTTAGATCAAGATATAAAAGATATCTAAAATTGTAGAGTTCTCTTTTGCCCTTTCCCAGTCAAAGAAGGGGTAAGTGCTATTCTGACTTACATGACAAAAAATAGCCATGAACTGGTGGGATTTTTTTTTTTTTTTGACAAGAAGAAGTAAGGAAAAGAGCAATATGGATGTTTAAAAATGGGAAGTGAGAATCTTACCAATGAGTAGGTCCCTGGTACAGAAGTCTTAGTGGAGAGTTCATACTAGAATCCTGGTCCAAGCTATCAGGTTTTAATTTGCTAGACAAAGAAAACTCAAGCTGTGCTATCTAGGAGTGTTATGTAAGCTAGACTGGACTTCAGAGTCGGGAACCAAGCAGGAAGATACTGCGTGATGAGGGCCTGAAACATGCTGGTTACAGTGAGACTAGAAATGTGATAAACCCAGAGCTGTTTCACAGATAGACTTGCCTGAATATCCTGTCTGACGGAGGATGGATCAGAAAGAAAAGAAGTGGTGATGGGAAACAAGCCTAGATTGACTAGAGAAACCTAGAAATAGAAAAATCGGGAAGGCAAAGTGATTCAGATGATAATGCCATATATTCAGTTGTCCCTGGTGGCAGAATATTATAGTACAGATATTACATAGGCAAAGAAGAACAGAGGGCTAGAGTGTGAAGGTACAGATTTTGAGTTTAAGCATATTAGTGGGCTTAGTGTTCCAGCTGAAGAAAATGTGAAGCGGTTATTGCATGTTAGATATTGTTTGGGAAAGAATAGAAAACAGTGAAACCAGTGGGTTAAAGAAGAAACAGATTAAATAAACAAACCCAAGTAAGCTGTTACTAACTTTTATTTTAGAGACAATTCCTCATTTTGCTTTTAGTTTTCTGAATTATTGCCTCACTTTTCTGTTTCTTTCTGTGTCAGCATACATGGAAAAAGGAGTTCATTTTAGATTCAAAACAAAAACTGGAAAAAAAAAGTCTGAAATGGGTAATACCTAGGACATGGTATATATGTGTCATTAGGATTCTATCCCTGAATTTTTAATGCAGTTATCCATTTTTCATGGATTCTTTGTTTATTCCCCATTAGGAATACCTGGGTTTGGAAAGTGGGAAGGTGGATGAGAAAACCCACATGACAAATAGTGCTTACTTTATTTTAGAACCAAGTATGAGTTGTGACCCTTATCTTGTGCACTGGGAATTACAGATTTTTTCAGGATTTTTCTAACAATTTACATAACAGTTAACAATACTTTTGTCTCCCTCTAGCCCCTGGTAACCACTATTTTACTTTCTGATTTGATGAGTTTGACTATTTTAGATACCTGCTATAAGTAGATTCTTGCAGTATTTGTCCTTCTGTAACTGGTTTATTTTACTTAGTGTAATGTCCTCAAGATTCATCCATGTTGTAGCATATGACAGTATTTTTTTAAGGATACATTATATTTGGTTGTATGTATATTGCCACATTTATCCATTCAACTGTCTTGAACATTTAGGTGGTTGTTAGTGTCTTGATTATTGTGACAAAATAAGTACTTTTAAAAGTCTCACATTTTCAAGTTCGTTTTGACCCTTTTTTTAGTTGACTCATACTTCTCATGTCAAGCAAGAAAGCACTTTTCTGGTTTTCCTATTACTAGGAACAGTAGAGATTAAATGTCTCATATGTTTTTGGGAGTTCTAGAGCCCCACATATCACCTGTTCCTTCCCATACTACCATAACTGATGCTCTCTGGAGAGTGTCCCCTCCTGGCAGGAGGCCAACCAGCATAAAAATAGCACATTAAACCAGCAAAGCTAAGACCCCTCATAGAGTCCATTTCACCCTCCTACCACTGCTACTGGAACAGGTGCTGGTATCCTGGCTGAGAGACCCACAGATGGTTCACATCACATGACTGTGTGCATACTAACCCCCAGTACCAGCTCGGAGCCTGGTAGACTTGCTGGGTGGCTAGATCCAGAAGAGAGGTAACAATTACTACAGCTTAGCTCTCAGGAAGCCACATCCATAGGAAAAGAGGGAGAGTACTACAGTAAGGGAACACCCCATGGAACAAAATCTGAACAACAGCCTTCAGCC